AAGTGTATTAACTTTCCCTTTCATCTTGAGTTTTTAATTTCAATGATATCAAATTTATACATTTTTTTTTCTTTGTGGTCATGCTTTTGGCATCATGTCTACAAACTCTTTGCCTAACCACAGGTCATGATGATTTTTCCGATGCTTTATCTTTTCTAGTATTAAGTTTTACATTTAGATCTAAGGTCTGTTTTGAGTTAAATTTTGTGTAAGATGTGAAGTTTAGGCCAGAGCTTATTGTTTGCATCTAGATGTTTAATTATTCTAACATTGTTTGTTGTAAAGAACATTCTCCATTGACTTGCCTTTGTATCTTTATCAAAAATCAATTGGATATATTCATGTGAGTCTATTTCTAGATTTTCAATTCTGTTCCACTGACCCACTGATTATTCCTTGGTCAATACCATCCTGTTTTGATTACTACAGCTTTATAGCAAGTCTTAACATTAGATGATGTGAATCCTTTGGGTTGTTTTTTTTTTCAGAATTATTTTGGCTATTCTAGTTCTTTTGCTTTTTACAAAAAAAAAAAAATCCTGGTGGGACCTGGAATTTCATTGAATTGAGGGATCAGTTTGGATAGATTTTACTTCTTAATTATATTGAGTCTTCCAACCCATTAACTTCTTTGTTTCATCAGTTTTTATAGATTTCAGTATACAAGTCTTGTACATGTCTTATTAGATTTATACTTAAGTATTTCATTTGGGGGAGGCAATTGTAAATAGTATCATATTCTTAATTTGGCATGCATATGTTTACTGCTAATCTTGAGAAATACAACTGATTTTTGTATGTTAACCTTGTATTCTGAGACTTTGCTGAATAGACTAGTTCTAGGATTGTTTATTCTCTTGTAGAATTTTGGGGATTTTTCTATATAGACAATCATGCCATCTGCAATAGGGATGGTTTAACCCCTTTTTTCTTGTCTGCATGCCTTCTCTTGCATTATGGCACTGGCTAGAATTTCCAGTGACTGTGTTGAGAAAGAGGGATGAGAGTGGACATGCTTACCTTATTCCAGATCTTAGGAGGAATGCATCCAGTTTTTGTCACCTTGAAGTAAAATGTTAGCCATAGGCCTTTGTAGAT